ATTCGTGAATGAAGCCGGAAAATTCAAGGCAAGCATAGCTTCGAATGTGGAAGCTTTGGTTGAGCTCTTTGAAGCATCGAATCTTGGCTCAGAAGGAGAGAACATATTAAATGAGGCTAATTTATACTCTATCAGAAGTCTCGAGCCATATTTTGCTGCAAGCTCTTGCAATCAGGCTTTGAGTCTTCCGTTGCACTGGACAGCTGAATGGTACAACATCAAGAAACGCATTTTAGCATATGAACAAGAGGATAAAATTAATCCCAAATTAGTGGAGTTGGCAAAGCTTAACTTCAACATAGTTCAAGCAGCGTTCCAGAAAGATCTCAAGGAGATATCAAGGTGATTTATCATGCCATAATTTTTCGACCAATTAAGCAGAATAATTTGACCAAAACAACAATAAAAGTGACATTTTTTAAAAAATCTCTTTTCTTTCCTGATTTAGATGGTGGATGGAGCTTGGAATCACGGAAAAATTGAGCTTTTCCAGGGACAGAATGGTTGAAAGCTTTCTTTATGCTGGGGGAGTAGCATTTGAGCCTGAACATGGAAGTCTGAGAAAATGGCTAAGCAAAGTCATTAAGTTGGTATTAATAATTGATGATGTTTATGACATTTATGGTTCCTTGGAGGATTTAGAGTGCTTCACCAACGCTGTTGATAGGTTAGTACATTAATTTCGTTGACCCATTCTTCTATCTCATGTTCTCCACAATATCACAATATGTCCATATGGAAAATTGATTTTTTTTTTTTTAACGTTGTGTATACGTAATATGAATATATTGCATGCACAAAATAACAAATAAATAAAACCTTGGTATAAATTGCATAATATATTTGTCTATTACAGAAAAAACCTTAATACATGTTAAAACATGATCAATTCTTGACCATAGGTGGATGCCTGAGGAAGTGAAGAATTTACCCGAGTGCATGAAGACTTGTTTCTGGACATTGTACAACACTACAGATGCAATAGCAATTGAAATTCAGAAAGAAAAAGGTTGGAGCTCAGCGTCACCGCATCTACAGAAAGCAGTACGTTCTCAAATCAACTTCCATGCATAAAATAAGATTAATTAATTAACTTATTCTGCATTTCAGCTAAATTCTGAGCTAAATATTTTTTTTTTCCCCCTCTGCCAGTGGGCAGATTTTTGCAAATCCTTGCTCTTGGAAGCCAAGTGGGATAACCAGGGTTACACACCATCGCTAGACGAATACCTAGACAACGCATCCGTATCCTCATCTGGCCCTCTGCTTTCTCTTCATGTAATTTTCGGTGTCGAAGATCAAACGGCCAAGGATGTTAAGGAAATTTTTGAAGAGAATAAGGATATCATTGACTATACCTCACTCATAATTCGTCTATGCAATGATCAGGGGACATCCACAGTAAGTAAAATTATTTAATCAATGGAATTATATGTCATGTGTTTCTTTAAGTGAATTTATTTAACTCATGTTCAAATTCTGAATTATTTGCAGGCGGAATTAGAGAGAGGAGATGCACCATCATCAATTTTATGTTACATGCGACAAGAAAACGTCTCAGAAGAAGTTGCTAGGGAGCATATCAGAAGCATAATATGGAGGACTTGGAAGAAAATCAACAGCCGTTGCATCAAAACCAGTACATTTCTGCAAAAATCTGCCAAGTACATAGTAAACGAAGCAAGAGTGGCGCATTTCATTTACCAACATGGGGATGGTTTTGGGGTTCAAGATCGAGAGAATAGGAAGCGGGTCCTCTCTAACTTGATTGAACCTCTTGCGCTAGTTGACTGAGGAAATTTCGGGTACGGATTTGAAGATATATAGCAGTAGTTGTTTGGAAATACTCCGGTACTTTGCCCTTTGTGTATTTGGAGGGTAATTATCTAATGCAGCAACTGTACCCCACATATCATTCTACAATAAGCTACATTGCTGAAAATGTTCTGGAATTTATGAGAAAATATATGGAAATTGGCAGTTTACGGACGTGTCTAATATTAAGTGGTCTCTGCGGATTGACTTGATATGAGGAAGAAAAGGGAGAACGGAGAAGAGGAAAAAAAAAACGATGAAGACAAACATAGAAAAGACAACTGGAAAAAGCAAACCCACAGGAAATCAAGGACGTCCGGATGTCTCTTTGTTTTCTTGTAGCGACTTCGCGAATTAAAAGTATCCTAGATAAATTCTTAAACTCCTCCTTTTTTTCTCTCTCTCGTTTGCCGATCGATTCACTCAAGTAAGTTGTTTAGTAATCAGTAGGTAATATTACTTTATTTATCTTACTAATCATTCAGCAGAGAGCAACATATGGTTGGAAGCTTTTTTTTCTTTTCTTTATCAAAAGAAAAGGGTTTTATAATTGCTAAGAAGTTGACTCATTAGATGCTCAAACCAACTCGAAAGATACCATGCACGGGTTAGTTTGTAATCTAAGCATGCATGTACGACTGACTATCCATAATATATTGTGAGATTACAACAGTTTTTTGGTTCTAGAATGAACATAAGGGACACAAATTCAAGGTGCCAAAATCACTTTTCATATTTGATCTTTTGAAAAATCATGTTTAAATACCATTTTGTGATAAGAAATTAAACTTGTTAGTCAAATTACTGGAGTCGACCCAATGATCAGTGAAGGCTCTTAGGATTTTTTCTGCTGTTAAAGTTCATGATTACAATTCTATACTTGACAGATAAGCGTGAGATTGACGTGGTTGGAATCCTAAACTTGACAGGTAAGCCCGAGAAGAAGGGTGTAGAAAAAAAAAAAAATTGGACTTGCTAGTCATTTTAAACAATACACGTGCCAAGATCAACTTTGCTCTCTAATTAATCTCGTACAACGTCACACACCAAGCCCCAATGCCATGAAGAGATGTGTATCTCTCAACCTAGCAAGGAAACTACACTTGTTTGTTGAAGTACTAAATCACAAAATGATTTTAAGGTAAATTATGCTTCACCCTCCTATCAGTTAGCCTTTTTTCAAATAGCTGTCCTATAATTAATTTAAGAATTATATATATAATCCTTAATAGTTTGGATTACAATTGTTAATCTGAACTTCGCCTCCATAAAATGGAGTCAACTCGAGAAAACTCTGTTGACGTGATAGTCTTGATTGACCCTTTGGAATGCTCTATCCTGCGGCAGGCAGTTTCTGATTCTCCTCTCTATCGAAGGCCTAATTAAGAATCCCATATTCGGTAGAGGCCGTAAAGTCCTGTATTTTTGTGATTCATTTTCAATAAACAACAGTTCTCTTTCCACTAAATCCTAAAGATTATGTAAACTTAACATCTAACACGATTATGTAAGGATTATGTAAATCCACTAAATCCTAAAGATTATGTAAGGATTGCTAACATCTATCACGAAATCCTAAAGATTATCTAAACTTAACATCTGTAATTTTTTCCAAAATCACTTTTCAAGAGTTGATGCTTTGAAATTCACGTTTAACTACCAATTTGCTGATTATGCACATTTTGATCAAATTGGTTCATACACGTGTTTATGAATTCTTTATTCGAGGACTTTTGGCAGAGGCATTTCAGTCCACTTCCTATATCAATAATGGAGTTCAAAGACGCGCCGTACTATCATTAAACATCCAGTGGCGTGTATGTCGTCCCCTTGTTTTTCCTAGATGCATCCTTCAATAACCTTATGCATGAGCTGTAGGATAGGATGCTTCAATCACTAACTGCTCGTCTATTCTTCTTTTACTTCTTCTTCCATGACCAGGGGTCAATTGCAGCTTTTCTCGAGCCCAGAACGTACTGCAGCTCACCTTCTTGTCATGGTGATTAGAGCTCTCTCATTTTATAAAATCTAATAATATTTTCTCTAGACAAAGTGGGAAGTTATGCGTATGCCCAAGAAGTACTTAGAACGCAATAAAAACAATAACAAAGTTGATCAACTTCATTTCTTGCACGAGCGATAAATTAAAGTACTTTTACTTAGTTGAGGCATGGTAACTATTGTCCCTGAACTTTTTATCCTTTTCAGGAAAATATATACTATAAAGAGAGAGCCAAGACTCTAAAAAAGGATGGGATAAATATATGCATGTTTGTGCCCATTCACTTTCTAAGCTGGAGCTTATAGACAGTATATCAAAATTAGGCCTGGACAGATACTTTGTGGAGGAAATCAATGAAGCTCTAAATCATGTCATAGCCTCGAGGGGAAGTACAGCTCTATTTCACAAGAGGATCGTTATTCTACCGCTCTATGCTTTAGGCTTCTTACGCATTACGGTCATAATGCTTCACAAGATTCACGAAAAACTACCTATGAGAGTTCATTCTAATTTTGAGTGTGTAACTACAATGTAGAGGTGTCAAAATTGACGACTCAAATGGGTTCGGACGGATCGTAATTGGATAATAGATATAATTGGATCAATCCATTTATATCCATCCATTTAAATAATTAAATGGATATTCATTTATACTCATTTAATAAATGGGCATGGATATATTCAATTATTTATTTATAAATCGCTTAAAATTTTACTTATTTTTTTGCATGTTGTTTGATAAGAAATAATGATATTTTATTATTCTTAGATTGATAAGAAATTTAAATTTATTTGCTTAACACTCACTAAAAGTTTAGTTTAAATGTATAATTATTTTTAAATGAATATAAATAGATGAGTCTAGTCAACTCACTATCCACCAATTAAATGAATTTAATTAAGTACCCATTTAGACCCATTCAAAATTAATAGACAGGTTTGTGCGGGTTATTGATAGATAGGTTTGGACAGGTCAACCTAATTGGATTGTGGTTGGCACGAGTTCAAAAAGAGTCAAAAGTTGATTAACCGTGAAATGGAAAACATGGAATAGATAATTACCTTTTCCATCACTCAACTTATATAATTGCATTGGTTTTTGGATGCGTAACGATTAAAATTGAAGGCACGTAACGCCTTTAAGTAAGTACACCCCTAAATTTCATTCGGCTGGGTTCCAGATATGTTCAAATTTGTGCCAAGCCCGAGCGTCGAAGGTCTCCTTGAGCTTTTTGAAACATCGAATCTTGGTGGAGGAGGAGAAGAAGATGTTCTGACGGAGGCTACATTGTTCTCCGTCGACGGTATTAGTTCTTGCGGACCCGCTAAACAAGTGTTCGAAGCCTTTAGTCTTCCATTGCAATGGAGAGTGGAATGACACAATGTCAAGAAACATATCCATGCACCCAACAAAATCTAAATCGATCGAGTTAGCAAAGCTCAATTTCAATATAGTTCAACCTTCACACTCAGAAGATGTCAAGGAGGTATTAAGGTAAGGAATAACAGCCTAGAATAAACGTGCAACCGTAATAAAGTTTAGTTTACTGAAATTATGTCCTTTTTTCAATAATAAAAGTATGTTGATGTTTTTGAAAGCAAATATTTTTGAGCCTTCAGCACTGGACGGTTCCTACAGTTTGGTCCTGTGTACTGTACTCTTTCATGTTGCTATACAGTGAAAAAATAGATGATGCAACTAGCACTCGAATCCTTGGCGGCAAACGAATTCGAATCACGAATAGTAATTGATGAGTTTTTTTTTTTTTTTTTTTTATCTTTTTGGTTTAGGTGGTGGATGAATCTCAGAAATAAAGAAAAACTGGAGTTTTTCGAGGGACCGATTGGTTGAAAGTTTTCTCGCCGCTGCGGGGACTGCTCCTGAGCCTGAACAACCAAGTCTAAGAAATTGGCTATGCAAAGTCATTAATTTTGATTGCAACAACAGATGACGTTTATGGTTCCTTGGATGAATTAGAATTCTTCACCAATGCTGTAGAGAGGCTTGTATTTCAATCCGATTCATCAAATTCTTCTTACAGCCTTTAATACAGATGTACTTGACGAATAATAGGACGTACAACTTGAATTATCTTAATAATTAGGTGGATCCCTGAGGAAAACAAAGACCTAGATGAAGACAGAAAGATCTGTTTCTGGACATTGATAACCGCTGCAAATGAAATGGCTGCTGAAACTCAGCAAGAAAAAAGGTTGGCCTTCAGTTTTACCGCGTTTACAGAAAACTGTTAGCGGTCTCAAATTTACTACTTCATATCAATGATTGGAAGTTTTTTCTTTTCCTTTTCTTTTTGGAGCTTAATTTCACGTATCAAAAATCTCTCTCCCATTTTTTTTTTTCAATTATTCCTTTTGCTTTCCTAGCGGGCAGGTTTTTGTAAATCCTTGCTCATGGAAGCTGAGTGGGTGTAACAAGGGCTGCAGGCCGACACTTGAAGGGTATCCTGAATGACAATTCATCTGGCCCTTGTTAGAAATACGCGTGCTTGTTTGGAACCATAAGCTATCATTCCTGAATGACGTAATTTTTTTTTAGTGGGGTCAGGTGTTGTACGTGTCAGTTGATTTATCAATTAATGGATGTTCCATCACCGCCAATGCATCGAGACTTTGTGATCAAACCTTGCGTCCCATCAATTTGTTAAAATTAAATGTGACCTTGGTTAAAAAATTCAGTCAAGTGTATAGTACACCCGTCTGGTCCGATGATAATTCAGTCCCCTCTGAGTTTCCTCAAAATTTCTTCAGATCCTCTCTTTTCGTATAGTGTAGAAAACTATCGTATCCGTAAAAATAATAATAATAATAATAATAATAATAATAATGGATGTTCCATCATGTTTGTTTCCATACACCAACCGTCTACAGGGGAGAGTATCCAGTGCAGGCTCATTAACCGTCAATTGCCGAAGACAAGTGCATGAGGGCCGTTGATCCCCAATGAAAAACACTAGAAAATTGGATCCGGATCCTTTATTTGGTGAAGAGTCATGATGTTGGCATTAACGAAATTCGTATTTTGATGAAGTACATAATTACCTTCAACATACAAAGCCCGTTCGAGATTATTTAATAATCTACAACTATCTATACTATATATAAAGGGAGAGGGGAAGGGGTTAGTGTAAACTTTTTTGTGTCATTTTTTGAGAATTTCTATGTTACCCTCCAAATAAAGAATAAAATGATACTGTCATGTCTCTAAAATAAACATACACAAATGCATAAACAGGCCCTCATTTTTCTAGCCTAGCATAACTTCCAATAAAGTAATTACCGCCAGCAACTTCCTGTCCAAAAAGAAATGAAAAGGAAAAATGCAACTCTTTTGTCCATATTTCTCAAAACAAATAACCCTCCGGCAACTACTAAAAAATTTAATAATTTTTCTTTTAAAAAATTTTCCTTCTATCTAGATTGAGACACACATAGGTTGTGCCATTTCCATTAGTTACAAATTGTATTGTGTCATCCTACCCTCAAACTATAAATTACAGTTGACAATATATAATAGCAAGAGAAGTATTTAACCTATCAAAGGGCATATTTAGAGTCTATTATAACATTAATAATAGTTTTTGTTCAAAGGTCATAATTGCATAATCAACTGATGGTTTTTAATCCTAGGTTCAAGAGGTCATATTGAATGATGGACACAGCGAGGGGCGGGGAGGAGCACCGATCCCCTCCCCACTCAAAACAGTTTCTATAATCTTGAAATCCTCGATAGTAGAATTAGTTGTTGACTAAAATTATATCACCTTGGCCCACCCAAGTATGATTCTTGGTAGATCTTTTGTTTCTTTTCTTTTTTTTTTTCTTTTTTACAAAGGTGTCTTATACCAAATTAACAATTAGTTTCCTTATAAAAGTATACCATTAGTATATAATTAAGGAAACATTAATTTTTCTTTTAAGCAAGTGATAGGTTATAATTTTATCATTTATTTTATTATTAATTTCTTTTATTACCAGATCCAATGTGCATTAATTGTTCGATTTTACTTATTTTTGGCATTTATACTTATCATAGGGACTTGGAGCAAAATATAATAAATGAGTGAAAATCTCGCATTACAAGTGCTGTCTGGCGGGGTCGTGTAAACTCAGATTTCCACAAGTCCAGAAGGTACGAGAAAGGCGTGTGATATCAACCACTAATTGAAAGTGCAATATGGGAGCCGGAAAAAAAAAAAAACTCTATTACTCTCTCCGTCCCATTTTGTTAGTCTTGATTTTTTTTTCACACAGATTAAGAAAGTGTAATTAATTTGGTTGGAAACATAAATTTAGATTAATAATTTCCTAAAATACCCTTATGCTAATCACGAAAAGTGCCAATTAATATCAGTTACAGCTAATGGGTTAGTATTGGAAAAGCTCAATGTATTCAATGTAGTGGGTTAGTGTTTAATAACAATGTATTAATAATAAGATATTTAATAAGGGTATTTTAGATAATTTGAAAGATTACTATATTTTTTAATGGGAAAGTGGACTATAATTTGGGACGGATAAAAAAGAAAAATAAAACTATTAATGTGGGACGGAGCAGTAAGTTTCATTTACTTTTGGAATGGCGGCTCAGCGGGAAAGAAGAAAGCCAAAGTTTGATTAGGACTCTAGTGCTTTTGGGAGTAGCGGCCGCAAGATAGAAACGAACAGACTGAGTGGGGCAGCCGCGACTTCACTTTGGATTATTCGTGTGAGCCTCTGGCTAGAGGCTACGGAGAAGACATTGAATTTGTTTGGACAAAGATAATTTGATTTGCAAAATTTATTCTCACAAATTTCAATAACTTTTTTATCTTCTCAGTCACCTTTTTATTTCATAAACATCATATCACAAAAAATGCTACAGTAAATATCTCAAATAAATCATCCAAATAAACTCTTATCCAAACAAACTCATTAGCATCCCCTTTCACTTTGTACTTTTCCTCTTATTTTTAATTATTCGGATTTCTTCACCATATAGAGAAGAATGTCCTCGACAATTACTGTGTTGAATTGTCGCATGGGATTTTTTTCATAGAGATGAATTAACTCTCCTTTTCTAGCTAAGGAACTACGGATGCTTTGATTCGCCTAATAATTATGAGATCGATTTAATTTTATATTTTCTTTTTATTTATTGGTATTCGCATATTCCCTGGTTACAGTGCTTATGATTGTTTAATTAATTGATTGTCTTGAATCCGGATAATTAGTTAATTTGATAATCTATTGTCAATTGAGACGTTAAATCCATAATTGTTTAATTGTCTCAAAATAGTGATAACTGGCATGATTGGATTCGTGTCAGGGGAATACGCGGGCTAACCTAAAATAACCATAGTAGTGTGTTATTTGGTTAGAATATGGCTCCTCTAATACGTAAGGCAATTGGGGAATTAAATCTTACAGGCGTATCTAAAATTATTTCTCAATTAGGGCAGTGATTAATGGGCGTACCTTAATCACCGACACAGTAAGGAGGAGTTGACTGTCATCGCTTGTTTGTCAGTTGTAACCTATTTATTGGTAAATAATTGGATTCGACTTTGCATCGATGATCAATTAGGTGAACCATTGCTGAAGTTATTTCTTGGTTAGATCCTTAATTATCACCCATTTGATTTTAGTAATTTGTTATTTAATTTTTTAGTAGTTTCTTAGATTTTATTTGAATTTCTTTGATTGTCACCTTCTGCACAAAAACACTCACTTTGTTACTGTGAATTTGAAAAGAAACAGTTACACTCAGTGAATTCGACCCTACTTACCACTATTTACAAGAATGGACTTTAGTTGAGCAGGTTTTTATTATTGCACAGGCTGACAACCTGTCAGCAAGTGCCCTGTAAGAAATCAATTCTTAGTTACTATAAATTTAAAATAGCAACTAAGGTAACACTATACCATATAGAAAGATATAGAGTCTAATTTTCACATTTTACTTTATGCTCTGTTTTTTTATCATTAAAAATATCTTTTTCCTGATTATCATCTATTGGATTTTTATTTTACATTTAATGTGCTTTATTTAATATTATTTTCTTCTGCTATCATATTTACCTTCAACACGCTCTGCCCGTTTGTGACATTATACGGTTATGCTCATGCCAAGATTAGCGTTGCTCCAGGTTTAATTTATAAGATCTTTTACAACGCCAAAGAAAATGAAGAATTTTAACACCATCCATGCTAACTCATCATGAACATTCGATGTAAATGATCAGACTCCATTCACGCTATTTCTGAATACATTATTGTTTTTGGCAATTACATCCTGATGAGTTTAAATCCAATTTTGCTTCTACTGCTGTTTATCTTGTTTTAGGGGCTTCATGAATTAAATGTGAATTTGTTCAAGTCGTGCACGAGCTGATTGAAAAACATTTAACACGTGTAGGCAAGTTTACACGTACGCTTTGCATGAATCTTTCCATGTATCTAGTATGGAAATGAGATGATCAGTCTTCCAAGTTCATTTCATTTCCCTATTACATGGAAAGATTCATGCATGGAAGATAAAAAAAAGTTAGCACCGACTGTTACGGTCTATCAAGTGTGGAAGGCTAAGAATTATAACCATAGAAACATAAAAATGAATGGAAATTACTTTTTCACTCACCTTCTTAATCTTTAGAAATGCTGCAATAACGATTTATGCAACGTATGTCGAACCGCGAAATGGCGGGTCACAAACTTGAAAATATGTAGTCCATCACAATCGACTTGTATAGCATAGTTCGCTTTCTCGACGCGAAGCCGTGCCAATTTTTGTTGTTGCTAGGCGATGGATCGTGCTTAGACACGAGCTGGTGAGGCACGATTCTTTCAATTGTTTCTATGGTTTTTGAAACTTCATGTATCACCTTCGCCAAATTTGTTGGGTACCACTACCAGTAGATGCTATAGACACTTTGTCTTGTTCAATTGCACTAGGTTTGTTTTGTTCGCGATAAAATCCAATCAAAATTCCATTGTCTACATGATTACAAAATAAAGACAATAGTTAGGTGACATTTCAATATCATTTATTGAAGGTGGTGTCGAATATTGTTTGTTAGGCTTATTGATAATGCCTTGAGCCCATGAAGAAACAAATAAGGTCTAAAAATTAAATTACAAAGTTGGAAGAAGTCTCAAAAAGAAGTACCCTCACCATGATGGCTAAGGTAAAACCGCAGAAGCAAATATGAGCAATGTTCTATTTTTTCTTTTTTAAGTGGAAAGTTTTGAATTCAAGATCTTATATTTACAATTTTTCTTATCTTAACATCCAAACCAATCTTCCCTTACAAATATAAACATGTAGATTTATTATTATTTTTCATTCAGCTTATTCATTTTTGAAATGCAAATAGCTGGTAAGAGTCATGTCAACATATATTGCATGCTTCCAAATTAACTAGTTTATTTATTCTAAATGAAAAGAATCCCGTCACCATAATGGCGGGTCATAAACTTGAAAGTCTGAAGTCCATTATAGTCGAGTGCAACACTGCAACGGCATGGCGTTTCACGGTCCCCTTCATCAACCCGAAACTGTGCCGTTACTTTTGTTGTTGTATTTAGCGTTGATGGATCTCGCAGGACAGAGGGGTTAAGGCATGATTTCTTCCTGCACTTTTTGGTCATTGAAGAACTGATTCCAAAACTAATTTAGGTGTCATCCAATAGATGATTTTTGTTCAGGTATGTAATAATTTTAGAAGCCCAACCTGGGGCAGCTCGTGTGATGTGTTGCTCCTATTTAGAATATGGCCACTAAGAATCGAATCCAGGAATTAACGTGTTCGAGATGAATGAGCCTCTTCTCTCGGATCGCAGAGGATTAGTCGGGCCGAAGGTCCGGATATCCCTGTATTGAAAAAAAAAATGTAATAATTTTAGAAAGTAAATCTTTGTAATGTGTGCCCATGTTTAACAAAATCCATGACAAGAACTCTCTGTAACTCGTTTTTTTGGGCAAGTTACAGTCTTTGCACGATTCTTCCTTGTAGGGAAATGAGACTAATGTTCTGGAGGCGGGCAATTACATTATCATTTCCAAGTGGTGGTATCTTCAACTGGCAGAGGATTGAATTAGGGATTAAATTGACATCCACTGAAGCTTGTAATGATCATGAAGTTCTTATCCTTGGTCTCTACAACCCCCGCCACTAGCGCCACTAATTAACCACAATCACCACCTCTACCGCAGATGGTTGGCCATTTTTACTGCCAAAACTTTTTAACTTATTTGTGGAATCAATCAAATGATCGTCTGCCAGCGAAATTAGTCAGTTCGTGCAAGTTTCAGAATCATATACAGCACCAAAACTGGGACGCATCTCTATTTATAGTAGGATAGATTATAATCTGCTTCCACTGTGTAGGATATTATCTTCGCAATAACATGGTTGATGAGATGCGACGTGTCTCTTGGTGTGGGGTTCCAAAATCAAGAGCAAAGTGGAGTCTTAATATGGATTACGGAATTACTTGTAAGTGTTTTAATCATGGGCAATTGTTTTTGTCTTAAGCTATATACTTTGGTAGAGTTCTACTTGATATACTACACTGTACATGTAGCTTTCTGGCCCGTGCTGTGAGTACACTTCAATCTTCATAGGAATTCTTGAAGATAACCATCAAGAGTCAAGATGATGAATTGAGCCCCAAATTTCATTCCAAATGAAGAGAGTCCTAATCCGCGTACGGCGGGTCATAAACTTGAAAGTTTGTAGGGTAAATTACACTTTATCCAGTGGTTTAGCGATTTTTTACATAATCCTTCTATAGTTTCAAAAGTTATACATAACTCCCTTATGATTTGAATTAAAGTGTTAAAGAGACAGAAATAATCATTCGTAACGGAACCTTTAAAAATATCGAAATTAATCTTATGAATACGTGACACACTAATCCCGTATGGTTTTATGTTATATTTAATGTTTTATCATATTATCCCCTTATGATTTTCAAAATATACACATAACCTCTCTTGGTTAATAAATAATTTTCAACTTTACATAAGAGTATTTTTGACATTTTAGGTGACTCTGTTACCAATGATCATTTTCGTCATTTTAACACTCTAATTCAAATCATAAGGAAATTATGCATAGCTTTTGAAATCATATAGGAGTTATGTAGAAAACTACTAAATCAAAGGAAGATAAGTGTAATTTGCCCAAGTTTGTACTGCCATCACAATCGAAACCAATCTTGTGGTTCCCTTTACCATGTTTTTTCGTTGCTACATGCGATGGATCTCACATAGAGATTTTAATGGCGATGGACGGGGCACGATTTCATCATTTGTCTCGGTTATCTGTGGGATGGGGTGACCGCGGGTCACCCGCCCCGCAGGGGGTTAATGGGAAGGGGGTTGGGGCAGGGGGCGGGGGAATTTTTTTCCCGCCGGTTAGAAACGGGGCGGGGAGTGGGGGAGTGTATCCCCGCCCCATCCCACGCCCCGCCACCCGCTTTAAAAAAATAAATATATAAAATATATATGTATATAATTATATATAATGTATAATTTAATTAGTTACAAATTTATGATAATGATATTATTAGTTATATATATTATATAATGTCTATTAGTGTATATAATATAATTGATATTATTAATTATACTAATAATTATATATGTGTACTAATACAAATTATTAATTGGTTATACTAAATTTACTAATATATTTATACTAAATCCCTAATTAAACTTAATACAATAACATTTTTTTTCTTAAAAAAAGCACAAGCACAATAATGAATTAGTGATTATATTTGTACAAAACGTAAAAACTTGGCTACTTTAGTTATATTTATTCATCATGTTGGATTGTATTCAAATAATTTTTATTTGATTGTTTTTATAAGTTTCAATTGTAAAATTACAATGAATAATAATTTGATGATGTGTTGATATTTTAGTACTTGATTATTTGCTAAAATTTAACCATAATAAAATTATATAACAAATTTTTATTAGCCCCACAGGGGTACCCGCGGGGAAAGCGGGGCGGGACGAGGATGAGGCGGGGGGAGCGGGGGACGGGGGATGGGGCGGTGGTGGGGGGAGTTTGTAGGCAGCAGGGCGGGGGATGGGGGAGGGGTCCCCCGCCCCAACTCCGCCTTGTTGCCATCCCTAATCGTGCGCATTTCTGCACTTTTTCTATCAAATTGGAACACGTTTTTGATGAATTCTTTAGTCCAGTAGTTTAGTTTATAGAGAAATTTCGGCCCGCTTCCACTATAAATAATGGAGTTCAAAGAAGAGGCCTAACCATCTTTAAACACTCGGCATTGTATATCCCTTCTTCTTGTTTTTCCTCCATGTATCCTTCAACAACCATAGGCATGAACTCTAGGATAGGATCCTTCAATCACCATATGCTGATCTTTTCTTCTTCTACTTTTTCCCTGACTAGTGTTGAAGCGAAGGCAGGAACTAATAGTGATAAGATAGATCAAAGTGTTCAAAGGAGAACAGCCAACTACAAGCCAAACATATGGAAACATGAACTCCTTCAATCTCTCACTAGCCAATTTTCAGTAAGAACTCTGGTTCTTGATTGCCATGCATGTAATCAACAGACGCATGTGATAGCTAAGCTCCAATCCACAAGAATGGAAATATCCATGCTACCTAGAGTGACCTATTAAATTATCATCCTCTTTTTTTAAATTCTTTATATTGAACCTCGTCACCTTTTTGATCATGGTGATTAGAGTCCTCCCAATTTATGACGACTAGTGATATTTTCTCCAGATGAACCAATGGCTAAAATTAGGAGTGCTTTTCGTACTTAACTTCGTTCCTTGTACGTGTGATTAATAAATAAATAAATGTACTTTATATACTTAGTTGGCATATAGTAACTATAAGGTGGTTGCACCATAGCTACAATACTTCCATTCTACTTGAAATATTTTTCCCTCTTTTCAGGAAAAGAAATACAAAACTAGAGCCCAGACACTTAAAGAGGATGTCAAATGCATGTTTGTGGAAGCTAGTGACACATTGTCTAAGCTGGAGCTTATAGACAGCATATCAAAATTAGGTCTCGACAAATACTTCATGCAGGAGATCAAAGAAGCTCTAGATGCCACAGCCTTAAGCAACAACACCTCTGTTTTAAAAGGAGATCTTTACGCTACCGCACTCTGCTTTAGGCTTCTTAGGCATCACGGTTATCATGCTTCACAAGGTACGTACATGCAAACTACTTGAGAGAGTTCCTTGTAAATATAAAGTATTTATGAGTGCTCAAAAGCAGGCAAAATTTGATTGAATGTGAAAAGCAAAATATGGAAGAAAAAAATTGACTTCTGGATCGTTTAATCTACGTAATTCAATATGTCTTGGAGGGGTAACACTTCAATTGAAGGAAACGCTTTAAACTTCGTTTGAATTGAAGAGTTAGATGAAAGATTTCAAATCCATTAAAATTGCTCTAGTTGCTTGAATTATTTAACATGTATTTGGATTTGTAATTCACCAAATATTAGAATATATTTTAAATACTAACATAATTGATGATTTGCAAATTTAAATACCTCATAAATAATTTAAACGATTAGACATATTTAAAAGGATTTCAAATCCTTCGTCGAATCCCTCAATCAAAACACAGCCTAAAGAATTTACGTTTTTTCCCCTCACTTTCAATTTGGATGGATTTCAGATATGTTCCTAGATTTTGTGGATGGAACTGATAAATTCATCCCTAGCCCGAAAGTAAGCATCAAAGGGTTGCTTGAGCTTCTTCAAGCATCAAATCTAGGTGGAGAAGGAGAAGATCTTTTGACTGAGGCAGGATTATTCTCTATCGAAAATCTTAGTGGTTTTGGGGCCTCGTCAGATAACATGCTTGCCAAACAAGTGTATGAAGCTATAAGTCTTCCAATTCAATGGAGAGTGGACTGGTACAATGTGAAGAAACATGTCCAGGCGCATGAAAAAAATCATGAATCAACAAAGTCTAAATTGATCGAGTTAGCAAAGCTCAATTTCAATCTAGTTCAATCTTCACACCAAGAAGATCTCAAGGAGGTTTCAAGGTAATGAATAACAACAAAGAAAATATCTTGGAGTGCAAATGAAAGGACACTAACCTCGAGATTAAAAATCCAGTTTGTTCTCGCTTATTGTTTGAATTTGATTCCTTTTTCAAAATAAAGAAAAAAGTCCGTTGAGTTCTGATAATTTTACGTTCTAGCCTTCAGTTATTCAGGATTATTACACTTTGTTCTTCTTACCATGCAGTGAAAAAAAAAATAGAAGATGCAACTAACGGGAATCCTAATTGTCAAATGGTAATTGTTAAGCCTTTAATTTCTTCGTTTAGGTGGTGGATGAATCTTGGAATCAAGGAAAGGCTGAGCTTTTCGAGGGACCGAGTGGTTGAAAGTTTTCTGTATGCTGCGGGAACTGCTCCAGAGCCTAAACAAGCAAGTCTAAGAAAATGGCTGAGCAAAGTCATCAATTTGATTCTAATAACAGATGATGTTTATGACGTTTATGGTACCCTGGATGAACTAGAAATCTTCACCAATGCGGTTGAGAGGTTTGCAAATAACTATAATCCTGTTTGTCAACCGTTGTAATTACTGGCAACAAATAAAGTTGTACGCGACAAATCATAGGATCTATAACTTGAATTGTCTTAATTAGGTGGAGCCCTGAGGAGATTAAAGAGCTACCTGAAGGCATACAGATATGTTTCTGGACATTGCTAAATACTACAAATGAAATGGCAGCTGAAATCGAGCAAGAAAATGGTTGGACACCAGTTTTACCATATCTACAGAAAACGGTAATTAGCTATCTGATCAAATTTACTCCAAATCAGTTATTGAAAGTGTTTTTTTGGTGAGCTTTCATGTATCAACGGTATTTATTTGAGTTTCTTTTTCCCTATTTTTCCAGTGGACAGATTTTCTGAAATCCTTGCTCGTGGAAGCTAAGTGGTACAACAAGGGTTACACGCCATCACTTGAAGAGTATCTTAACAATGGTTGGATATCTTCATCTGGGCCTCTGCTTTCTGTGCTTGCAATCCTGGGTGTAGCGGATAGGAAGACACAAAATGTTGCAGAATATCTTAAAGATTGTCAGCAGATTATCCACCATTCCTCACTCGTAATCCGGCTTTGCAATGATCAGGGAACATCTGCGGTACATAATTACTTGGGGTGTATGGTTTTCATAACTTGCTATTGTCAGCTAATGTCAGATTTTAGTTTACTTAGTACAACAAATCATATATTTCTTTAATCTCTTAATTTTGTTTTTTGTGTTCATCATAATTGGCAAATGTTGGTATTAATTGACAATTAATTGTCCTAATGATATAGGCGGAACTAGAGAGAGGAGACGCTGCTTCATCAATCTTATGTTACATGAGAGAAGCAAACGTTTCAGAAGAAGTGGCCAGGGAGCACATCAAAAGCCTAATCGTGAAGGCCTGGAAGCAGATTAATGGATACTGCATTTCGTGTCCTCCATTTCTACAAGAACCAGCCAAATATATCACAAATACAGCAAGAGTAGCACATTTCATGTATCAACACGGAGATGGATTTGGTGTCCAAGATCGTGAGACTCAAGACCATGTTCGGTCCAACTTCATTGAACCCATTCCAATCAACTGACCAAACTATTGCTGTTCAATGTTCATGCATGGCTCAATTAAAGTACCTAAATGTTTTGTTAAATCTATCTAGCCAGTGCTTGTGGTTTCATTAATTATATTTGATAACTTTGAACCCAAAATTAAGCCTCCCAGAATGGATTATTCCTGTATGATGCAGGGTTTACACATTGCAATTGATGTATCAGTTAATGCCTTAATGCAAGGTCTCTATCAACGTTTTTAAAATTTGATCAGTCAGCACAATTAATGACCAAACTTCATTGAACCCATTCCAATCAAATGACCAAACTATTGCCGTTCAACGTTCATGCATGGCCCAATTAATATATCTAAATATTTTGTTAAATATATCTAGCTAGTGCTTGTCACTTTCCTTGTGGTTTTATTAAGGGATAATTTCATAAGCCTTCCCTAATGTTTCTGGATATTTTACTGGCCACCTTCAAGTTTTGAAAATTATACTAACGTCCTTTGAGGTTAATCATCTCGTAATATTTAGCCCCAATCAATAATTAAAAGATGATTTTAGGAGAGAAAAAATAATATAATTTTATCATTGCTCCTTATCTACTATATTATTTAATTAATTTAATACCAATCCACATATTAAAAAAAATACTAAAATTTGTTGTTTATCGTTAGAGATCAAATGACATATAATATCAAAAAATATATATCATTTTATATTCTTCAATTAATATAGTATTCAAATTATTTTTTTCAATTACATACCCATCGTCAAACATAATCAACAACAAATAATAAAAAATATTTGCAACCAAAATATTACAAAGAACAAATTTTAACATCATAAATACTCTTATCAACATATTAAAATTAGTTACCGAGATTTTTATGGTATTAAAGTTCGTTCTTTGTACTTTTCTTATAATAAATTTTTTTAATTATTTATTATTGATCATGTTTGACAATGGTTATGTAACTAAAAATAGCAATTTGGATCCTACAGTAAGAGAAATATATAGATGATATACAATTTTTTATGTCATATGTGATTTAATCCCTCGTGATAAACAGCAAATTTTTGTATTTTCTTTAATGTTTGGGTTGATATTAGATTAATTAAATAATTTAGTAGATAAGGGATAATGGTAAAATCGTATTATCTTCTCCCTCCTAATATCACTTTTAAATTGTTTGTTGGATCTAAATGTTACAAGATAATAAATTTCAAATGAGGTTAGTGTAATTTTTAAAATTGGAAGAGAGATAAGTGAAATAGTAATTTTAAATGAAAATGTAGGAACAATCGTTCAAAACGTCCCTCGCATTTTATAAAATGATTTTTTTTGTCCTCACTTTTAAAAATGTAATTTTACGTCCTTTGCAAATTCATATTGATCAATTTTGGTCCCTATCTAGGTTTTCGAGTAATTTTTTATCAGAATTTTACCACGTGCCTTGCACGTGATCATTTTTTAAGAACAAAATTGCTAAATCAAATTTTACATAATCCAATTTATAGTCCCTCATATTTCACAAAATAATTTTTTCATCCCTTGCATTTTTCAAAATGAATTTTTTCATCTCTTATTGATCATGTGTACGAATAACTTTTTTTTTTCTTTAAACCCATACATATATCTATTTGATTTCATATGAACAATATGAATAACATGTAATATATTTCTATTTGATTTCACCTAAACAGGTTAATTGTAGTTATACATATGTTATTCAATAGAAATATATAGGAGTTTAAAACTAACAATTTTATTTTAAACCCATGTATATATCTATATGATTTTACCATGTGAATCTATTCAATATTTGTGACATTTTTCTTTTGGTTATAATTTATTTATTGAGTTATATAATAATACTATCTAATTAATGGTTCTAACTCAAATTCTATAGTCGTGCTAACAAATTACAGTTTAATTTTGAAATTTCTACTTGTCACTTTTAAAACCAACAGTTGAATTACTTACCTTGTGATTGTCTTCTTTGTGATTGTCTTAAAATTTGAAAGTGTCAATCACTTACTTCTTTTTATCATACTTTTCCTTTGTTTATTTTTTCTATCCAAATTTAATTAGATATAAACATTCCATAATAGTTAAGATTAAATGTCTTCCTTATTTTCAATTTTTTTGAGTAAAAGAAAATGAATATGAAAAAAAAGCTAACAATTTTTTATATCAATTGATATATCTATTGATTTCACCCTATTTGATTTCACCTGAGCAGTGCAAATAGCATGTAATAGATCTCTATTTGATTCCACAATTAAATAGAGATATATTACATGCTATTTGTAGTGATCAGGTGAAATCAAATAAATATATATATATATATATGAATTAAAAAAATTATTTGCACACATGATCAATAAGAGATGAAAAAATTAATTTTGAAAAATGTGAATGATGAAAATATTTATTTTGTGAATTGTGAGGAACGAAAAAATGTATTTTGTGAAATATGAGGGACTATGAATCAAATCATGTAAAATTTGATTTAATAATTTTACCCTTAAAAAATCATCACATGCAAGACACGTCGTGGATTTCGAGAAAAAAAACTAATCGAAAACCTAGATAGGGACTAAATTTAATAAATATGAATTTGTAGGGAGCATAAAATTACACTTTTAAAAGTGATGGATCAAAAAAGTCATTTTATAAAATATGAGAGACATTTTTTGAATGATTTTCCCACAAAATTAAGCATCCCAGAACGGATTATTCTTGTATGATGTAGGGTTTACACAGCAAATTAGCAATTGAGGTACCAGTCAAAATGCCTTAGTGCAAGCGTGGTCTCTATCAACGTTTTAAAAATATTATTAATATCAGTCAGCGCACAAATTAATCGAAGTCGTGTGCATCCAAAATATTACATGGAAAATAATTGGCAAGTGTCAAATCATATTAAACCAAGGAAGTCATGTTTTGATCAGTCAACAAGTAGCCTTATATTCCACTTGTCAGTCCAGAAATGGTAGTCGGACTCCATGGGGGAAAGACAAAAAGTAAAAGAAGAAATTTCTACTCTACAAGTGTGTTCATGTTCTGGAAACATTTCACCAGCTGATCAATTTTGATCTTTTCGATTATACATGCACCTTGACCGGTCCTCTAGTTATTTTGAAGCTGATTATGGTTTGGTCCTCTATTTATCGAGAATTTTAAATTGCCCCTTTTTCAAAATCACTCATCAGTATTCGCCCCATGGATTTTCAACTCGTATAGTACTGCAACTCATTGAGAAAAAATCATGATTTTGGACGCCAACTCGTATACTTAAAAAGTTTGAGAAAAAATCATCATATAAACATTGATATTAAGAAATATAAAAATCATCATCGTATTGTGTGTGATTTTGGAAAATGTGTTGGAGTTTCAATTAAGTGAAATTTTTGTTAATTTTTTTTTCGAATTTGATGTAATTTTTGTCAATCTTTTAGATCTGCATTTATCTATTGCATATATTTTGTTGTATTTTCTACCGTTAGTGGACATCTAATAAAATAGAATTGTGATGTTTTGTGGCAAAAAAAAAAGAAAGAAAAAGAAAAAACAAGGCTTGTTCTCCTAAATGTTAGGTGCACAAGACTTTCATCAAAGATCCTAACTGTTACCGCACCAATTGATTAATAATAATGTCACGGCACTCATTAGTGAGATAGTTTTAAAGATTTTATAGCAATTTGTTGACAGGTATTATTAGCACATGAGATGTTGAATTTAATTTTAGACACAATAGTGTTTATTATTACAAAGAGTCCTCCACACTGTAAATAATACAAATAAATGACAACTCAAAGTCTCAAACTATCCCACAATGAGTGGGACACTAAAACGCGCTTCAACATTGATCGCTAAACCAAAGGTATTACCAACCCAGATTACTATCTACGTTAAAGTGTTATTAATGCATCAACAAAAGAATACCAAATACTTGTTCAAATTCATGAATCTCGCTACACTTAATAACATTCAAAACCATTTAAAGGATGGTAGGGAGTTGCATACCCTCAAAAATCTCTTTTATTAAATCCTAACCTGTGTATCTAAATTTTTACCAATCCCTATCAGGTAATCCTACCGAGTTTTATTTCCATTACTAAATCCTCTCAATCTCGGATTCAGATCATTCATCGGTTACTTTCTATCCGCTAATTTAAATAGCTTAGAAAAAGGTGATTAGCTATTATCAAACTAAATTTAAAATATACACCATATTAAATCAACACATTACGATAAGAATTGAGAGTTTGAGAATTTGAGGGATGATAAGAAAGAGAATTTGAGATTCAATCAATAATCATTATTGGACAATAAAATTAAGGCACAACAAATGCCTGTGCATATATATATTTATATTCGTATATATCCGGTATTGATTTACCCGATCCATTGTCATTCCTAAATCTTTTAAAACATTTTATTGTCAAAAGCACTTTTTTTTTTTTCCTATATGAGTTTTTGTCAAAATCCTCAACATTCAATCAAACACCAAGCCATCTTAGAAAATAAATGATATTGTCAAACTCCTCGACGTAAAAGGAAACACCAGGCCCCCTTTCAAAATAATGAAAGCCCTCTTTGTAGTTTGTACTGCGCAGATCAGATCGCTGTATCATACAACAAAAACCGGAAGGGTCCAAATCTTGTATCTGCAGACCCCAAATATTCTGGTATTTACCCTTTTAACACCATCCCTGCTCATAATTTATACTTTGACCCCAAAAAGGAAAAAAGAACCCCAGAAATCCACCCGCCCGATCCCGACAGAGTACAATCAACGCAAACCCTTTGGCTATTAGCAATATTTGATTCTTATGACTCTAATAGATGTATCCAAATTTGCCCATTTTCCCAATCCGCATTTCTTCTACAGTTAGCAGTAAGAATAGAAGAAGAAGGGAATTGGTCTCTTTTCCCATCTTTTTTGAGCTCAAAATCTTGAGACCCTTTTCACTATTTTTTCCTTCTTCTCCTATTCTAGGCCTTCTCCATTGTCAGAAAAGGGGAAGAGGGGTTATTAATATTTCATAAATTCATTAGAGAAATAATAATTGTAGAAAGAATTCGCAATAATAAGGAATAATGTCGAAGAAGAAAGCTACTATGACTCTCAAGGACTTCCATGGCGGTTCCATCCCTTCCGATCTTCCTTTACCTTCTGCACCCGGCGTGTTAGTATTACTCCCTATTTCTATCCATAATTTCTTAGTTGTCATGGATTAAAGCTTAACTCTTTATTGATTTCGCTTTGTTGGTTGTATTTCTTTAAACATCTGAAACTTGCTGTTATTATTGGTGGTAGATTTATGAATTGTTCTGTTTTATTCCCGTTCGATTCTTGTTTCATGGATTGTCTTAATTTTCTGACTTGGGGTTCGTTTATTTAAAGGCGGTGAAAGACAGATTTTTTTTTTTTTTTTGGGGCCAAGACTAGCTGGAATCTATCTTTTTTTCTGTTTTTTCCTGGATGTATCTTGATTAAGGGAAATTTGACTCTGCAAATGTTATTGTTATAATTCAGATCTGTTTTATGTAGCTCGATTAAAGGTTGATGAAATTTTGTTACTTTAGGAACATAGAAAATTAGTAGTTACAAGCATATAACGTGGATGGAGATACTTGTCTTGTGTGTGCGCGGGCATGTATTAGCGTAAGAGCAAATGATTTTTGGGCTTTTTGTCTGTGTAAATATAAACCTGATAGAAAAGTTGGAATTTTTGGCAGAATGGTGAGGCCATCTGAGCGTGGCTCCTTTGACCGGCAGGCAGCATGGGGGAACCCATTGGGACGGCCAGACCACCGGTTGCGTCCAGGGTCAGCTGGGACAGCTAGGAACTTTGATGACAAGACTACTTTTTTAAGTCATAATAGTAATATAGGTAGGCACTTTGATGAGGATGAGCGGAAACCATTGGATGGGGTATCAGGTCCTCGTCGAACTGTCAGTGATGAGAGCCTCAGAGCTCTCCCAAGTCATGTGGTGGAACCTAAGACTGATTATTCAGCCTCTGGGAGGGTCCCTAGTCGACCATCCTCAACTCCTGGGTTGCAGTATGCAAGTGGTATAACTAGTAGTTCTTATGCTGGGAGGTTTAGTGAGACCAATCATGCAGGAGTGGGTTCTCAAGGGTTTGGACCAAGTGGTGGAGTTGGAGTGAATTTTCAGAATGTTAGTGGGTCTGGTGGGCAGATGGTTTCTGGGCCGCATCCAAATGCATGGGGACTTAGGAAAGAAGCAGCTGGTGTAAAAGAACCAGCTGCTGCTACATGGTCTGCTCCAGATGCTGCAGCAAAGTTAGCTCATGCTAGTGCACTGGAGAAGGTTTCATCTGGTAGGTGGCATTCCAAGCAACATAATAGTTCTCAGCCAGATGTTGAAGTCATTAGGCAGTCAGAAGTTGAGAGTGAATTTCATTTGAGGGATAAGGATGTGTATAGCAAGAATACATATAGCTCTAGGCATTTGGTAGGTGGGACGGACTATCATGAGGCAGCGTTGGCAAGGCAGGTGGAAAAGAGTTTGATTGTTGATGATGGAATTCGTGGTGGCAGCAAAGCAATACCAATCTATGAGAGGGCTAGAGCTCCTGTCACCTTGGAGGCAAATGAAAGGAATCCTTTAATGAATGCTAATGATTTTCAACCGCTTCATCATGTAGGAAAATCTGGTGGTGCTGAGTCACAATCAGCTGTGCATTCTGAATTATCAGAAAGGCAAAAGCTGAAGTTACTTCCAAGATCCAAACCACTAGAAACTCAGGAACTGCCACTGGAGTATAAGCCGGTAAAGCTGCTCTACTTATTACTGTTGATGCATTTGAAGCTTTCAAATAATTATTATGAAATCTACATCTCATTACCGCACTTTTCTAAATATACTTTTATCAGCAGCCAACCGTTCCTGTACATGTGGAAATTAACAATCGATCACATGAAATGCAAATTCCCCTGAAAGCTGGGCTTGTGGGATCTGAGAGTGGGAATCCTATTGTAGAGCGCCCAAAATTAAATCTGAAGCCCCGATCTGAGCCTCTTGATCCAGCAGAAGATGGCACTGAAAGCAAGAGGTTTACCAAAATCTTTAACTAGCTTGCTTGACTTATGTTATCTTTTTATTTTCTTTCCAGTTTGTAATGCATATACTGTATTTCAGTTGCCCTGCTGTGAGCTTTCCTTGCGTTTGATATGTCATTTAATATGTCCATGTGATGATATATAGAATCAAGTTCTAAAATGTGGTTGAATATTGATCGTTAGAGATGTCATAATGAATCTAGGCTTTAGAGATCGTTGAAGGGGAAGTTAGAACTTTCAAGGTGTATGAGTTGAACTTAGAGATTGTTTATTGTGATGTTGATATATCTTTTTTATCTTATGGCATCTTGGTATCTAGAGTGACTTTTTTTTTTTGCAATTTCTGCCTCCTTTAGGCTTAGCTTGGGAGCTTAGGACAGAAAAGAAAAGAAGGGAAAACTTTAGTTATGAGGTGAGATGAGAGAAAAGAAGGGATTGTTATGTTGTTTGGGAATTTTGAGAATAAGTGGAATGATTTTGGATAGGTAAGTCATTAAATATTTGTTCAAGAGCTTTTTAAGGACAAAAGGCATTTTGAAAAAATTTAACAAGCTTCCTCAGAGTTTCCTTCCATAAATTGGGTGGAAAAGTTTTGGCTACTGTAGTGCTGCATTTCATTCTTCTGAATCCTCCCATTTTCTTTCTCTTCTTTCCTACTAAAAACTAACAAACAAAGGAAAACTGACTCTCTTCTTTCCTTTCCTTTTCTATCCAAACCCTGACTCCCAAACGAACCCTTAAGCTTTGTTCAACGAAGAATTTTGAGACAAAAATGAAATTGGGATGGAGAGAAAAGCATCTGCTTTGGGACTTTTGTTTAAGAGTAAGAGAAAAAAAGGGATAGATCCAAGTTTCTTCCAAGGCCTCCATTTCTCTTATACTATGGTCCATTGTTTTTGCATAAAAATAGAGTCCGTTTACAAGTGTACTCCATAAGTATTGATAGCATTCAAAGCCTGAGGTTATAAAGATTCACTTTCACCAACTAAAACTCGTGCCAAAAAGTCATCCATACATTGTTCTATGTTGTAATATCCTCTCAGCTCGAAACAGAAATAAAATCAAGGAGGAGCTCCAAAGCTAGGTCTCTCCCATCCTTTGTCCCCTTAAAAAGGTTCAAAATAGTTCTTACATACCCACTTCTCGTCCTCACTTAGGCAAGAGATATCAAGGGAAAAATGATAAGTGCTGTTGTTTGTGAATTACTATATCATATCAAGCTTTAAGACTGTTAATGCAATTGCTTTAGCAAGGGAAAGGGCATATCAAGTCCGAAGTCTTCCTTTTTGCGCGTCTCAACTAAAGAACATGCTTTTTAGGGAAAGCTTTTTTTCAGTTAACCTTCTTTCATTCTTGCCCCATTCTAGTTTTTTATTGCATTCTTCCATCTACTGGATTAATTCTCAAAGTACTACAAAAATAATTTTCTGATAGACTGTGGTGTATATAATTCTGAATTGTTAGCTACCTTATAGTAATATGCAGAATTATGCAGATCCATTGTCCACATATTTGTGATGGATATATTGTTTTATTGAGTTTATTAAACATGAGAATAGATCATGGATCCAAAGTGATGTGATGTTTGTACATGCATTTTATTGGAAATGCAGTTTACAGAAGGAAATTACTTTAAACATTTTCCTGACAACAAGGTTGGAGCAACCATGGCATACAAAATGTTGTAATATTATTACAAATGCGATGTTTTCATCTATGTTCTTGTGTGGTCGAATATCCGCATTTCATGGCAACTAGAAAACTTTACTAGATGTCTTTGTCGGAAGTTTTAGTTTCTTCTTTGAAGACATTAACCTCAAGTCCTGTGTCTTCTGTCTAATACAAACAAAAGTGTCATATTTAATGGTATTATCATGGACGGCTGTAAATCGAGTACCTTTTGCATATGACAGAATAACAGATGCATATTTCCTGAATAAACGTGGAAGGGTATTGACGATTGCTTCCCAAAAGTTGGTGATGCATGTGATTTTCAACTAGTATTGATGATGCATGTGATTTTTGCTTTAAAAAAATTGTGGTTTCTTTACTTTTCTGCTCTCACTTGTTGGCTTGCATGATTGTACTCCATCTTTTGGAGTTTTGAGTTGATATTGCTTGCTTTGTTTTCCTTAATTATATTTTGATTAATTTATTTATTCTAGATCTTTATACTCTTGTAGTATTATTAAGTATCTTGGCTTTCCATTAGTATCGAGAACTTTGGTTTAGTTCTCATGTAAAGATGTTATGCTTAACACACCTAAAAAGATCCACCTATGCCCTATACCTCCCAAAATATTCATTTTGAAGAAAGAAGAGCCAGTATTACTCGAAAAACAGAATAAGATGCAAAACGTATAATTTGCAAATTGTATCAGTAAATTCAATATGTATAATATTGCAGAGGATAAATGTAATGTCATTATGGTGAATCTGGCCATCATTCTTCTTTTGTTTGATTTAGACAATTACTTCATTATTCTCATTATTTTCAGAAACTTATCCAGATTCTGATTAAAAGTTACATTGGACCAACCATCTGATTCTTCTCATAAATATTTCAGTTCGGAATGATTTCAAACAGATGCACTGTATGGTTTTCTTTCATGTGTTAGGTGATTGAATCTTGTGCTGTCTGCAGTCCCAGATGTTTTAATCAAGATGATGAAGTGTGGAAGACGAATAGAAAGTAGTAGTGGGAGTATACCGGTTGAAAGAAAAAGTAGTGAATAACGTTGCCCACTTTCTGAACTTTTAGTTTATGATTTTCAGTCTTTGTTACTTTTAACAGCTATTAGTTTCTGAAAATCATAGCTTTTCGTATTTTTCTTTGCCCTCTTCAACTCGATATGTTGGTAAAGTGAGTATGTCTCTGGTCAGCCTTGGTTGCTAGTAATTATCTTTCTTTTTTTGCCCTAGCTGTTTTCACAGTGTTCTTGTGCTTCACATATTTGGAAAGCATACTTCAGTACTTTTTTTTTTTGGTTTTTTTTTTCAAGTCTGTTGTTGGATATTCCACCTGTTTATATGTTCTCTTGGAGTTTTCTAAACCTAGCAGCCATCCTCTGCAACTCTTCGAAGTATCTTTTCTACCTTAAAAGCATTAGTGGTAATAAGTGTATTAATTATTTGTTATGTTCAGGTAAAATGATTTTTCATACCCCTGTGGGAGAACATGTGATATGTGCTTCTTGAAATCTGCTTTATTTACCATGTTGACAAGAGCTTCTCATGGATTCTGATATTATATTAATGTCGCAGAATTTTCTCTCTAAAGCATGTAACAATCGTGAATAGCAATTTGGCTACCGTGATTTTTTTATCTAACTGATCAATCGATACAGAGAGAACACATAAGCTGTCATTCTTGACATTGCAAGCTGAGGTCTTTGATTTTTACGTTTCTGCCAACCTTGTTTGCTTTTTACTGGATTACTTCTAGTTGTTCATGACTGTCTTGCTATATAGCTGTTCAGTGGAAAATTTTGATACTGTTTGTGTTGATGTGATTTTTTTTCATGACTGGGGAGTTGTTGCTGGAACGTTTCTACATGATTCTGACCATATTGTTATTTGTGACTCGCCACAGGAACACATTGTTTGGGGGTGCTCGCCCAAGAGAGCTGGTAATTCTTTTTCTTGTGATTGTTTGTATCCAAACATAGATTAGTGCTTGTCTGACAGCAGTTCATTTTTTTGTTCACCCCAGAAAAATGAGAATTTGCATCACATTTGGCTGTGTACTTGTCATTTTGTATCAATGTTGGAGATCTGAGGCTTTGGTTTTGATTCTGGTTTCTGCCTTTGACTTGTTCAGGAAAATTGATCTGTAGTTATGGATGTCCTCATTTCTTTTCTAACCCCCCTTTATTCAGATTAGTCTATAGTTCCTTCAAGCTGGATGTTTATCTTATTACATGCTCTTATTGCTGCTTCCAGGTTCTAAAGGAGCGGGGCATTGATAATGTTGCTGTCCATGATGATGACCTGGCTCTGTCTCCTCAGAGGTAAAAGTTCAGTTTATTTATCTTGTGTTTCTGTAGCTGTGGATGGCATAGTTATTATAGGAGCCGTGTCTCTTAGCTTGAATTTAATTTCGAAACCCTTAGCTGAAGTTATTATAAATCAAAATTGATCTTTATCTGAAGGGTCAAACAAGATGTGCTCAAAACTGATAGAGTCTCAGTGCATGCTGCTTCTACTCGGTACAATGATAAGCCAGGAAGTATACCCATTGAACATCGGACAGGGAAGAATTCTGATGGGCGAGATCACCGATTAGAGGTTGAAAGAACAGATGTTCAGAAGAGGAATTGGCGAGGTGAGAACTGGAGGAACAAAAGGGAATTTGAGAAGCAACACCCGCCGCACCAACATCTGCAACCACAGCAACAGGAGAGGCCACCTTCACCAGAGACTTGGCGCAAGCCTGTTGAGCATCCAAAAGCAGCTTCTGCTGATGCTCCAGGGCTGCGTTATGGAAAAGCAGCTTCAGCAGTTGAGCTTGCCCAGGCCTTCTCTAGGTCAATCTCTGACTCCCCAACTCCTGATCGTTTTTCAGGGCAGAAAGGCCCTCCTAGCCAGGGGCAAATGCCATTTTCTCGGCTGACGGGTCCTACACCGAGACCTCAAATAAATGGCTACTGAGCTTTTAGGACATACTGGATGTGACTTTTGAGAAAGGATGCATTTTTACTGGTAATTGTGATTCAATAGGGAGGATTGTCAGAAACTGGAAGCTGCACGAGCAGTTCGCAGGTTGGAATTGAGGCTTCAAATATCCATGCGGGATGATGTCAAGAATAGATCAGCCTACAAATTCTGAGATCCTGTGTGACTCCGCCGCCCATTTATTCACCATGGACAGCGGAAAAAAGGTTTGGAACACCAGAAAGGATAAGAAATAAAAAAAAAAAAAAAGAAATTCAGTTGTGAAACTATTGCCTTTTAACGTTGGCGGTAGAAAACTGATGTCACCGCTAGACAAATTGTCTTAGCGGTGGGAGTTTTTTATGTTATACTTTGATACGTTGGATTTTTGGTTCATGCTGCTTCATTTTGTATTGAGATTGCTCGTACAATATATGAAGCAAATGTTTCCTTGGATAAGTTCCTGCTTGTTTCCATTCAGTGTCTTGTATGTGATATGATACCTGGGTAAAATGATTTCGCTTGTCTGCCATGTGCAAATATTTTGCTTCCCCGTTACTGCATTTCAGACGGCCCCCGGGATTTGAATTGAAGCGCTTTTCCATGAATTACTGTTAATTAAAGAGGGAGTTATTTATTATGGGTGCTTTGTAATCTATGACCTACAAGCAACCAGTTTTAAGGGCAGGCTCTTCGAGTATCTGTTCTTTTTCCGTTTAATTAAGTTGCAAGCACGGACAGTAGAGCTGTAGAGTGGATGGAATTTGTAGAAGCTCAGAAAATGGATAAACGAGTGAGCATTCAGGAAACAAGAACAAAAGAGCAGGAAGCACAGACAGCCACTGGCCCACTGATAATGGAAATCACATGAACATGAGTATTGAAATCAGCAATTAGAAGGAAAACAAGGCGCTAGGAATAGGTATACTAGCTTCAAAGGCTGGTAATGCAGAAGTTGGTTGGGCCTTGACAGAAGGAAGTACAGGTGAAATATTGCTGGACTATGCACAAGCTCTAAAACTGGCACTGAGTAAAGCATTGCAGGGAAGTTAAACTGGAAATCTCATCACCCAAGCTGCTACATCTTTTGAAGATCAAGAAAACTAAAGACGTCAGACTTTTTGTTCAACTGGAGGACATTTTACAGTTCAAGGTTGTTGTTTTTGAAATGCTCATTTGTTTTGTCCTCAAATGAAAGTAGTATAAGAAGTAGAATGATTAGCAAATATGCTGCTAGTTTAACACAAGACGAGGAATGTTGGATTCCGCCGTGTAGGGGTGGCAATCGGGTCAGAAACGGGTTGGCAAGTCGAGTTGAGACCCAGGTTTAATAGATAATCTGTTGATCCGAACACAACCCGTCAACTCGAAACAGGTCAAGATTCCTAGCCTGAATCCGAAAATTTCGGGTTGGCGGGTCAACCCGAATGACCTGAAACATAATTTTAATTTACTAATTTATCACTGTAGTTTCTAACAGAACCAATTTCGTACCAAACTAATTACATAATCAAGTAATAAAAATTTCGATAAAACAATCCCAAATCAATCTGAAATAAATTAAAACACTGTAAAAATATTTTATCCCAAACTACATCTAAAATAAATTAAGATATTATAAAAATAGAAAATAATGTAATGTATCATTTGTCCAAACATAATAATTCCAACTTCATACAAGTTAAATAAATTCATTTAGGATTAAGTGGTTAATACCTTTGGGGAAAAAAGAATAACTTAGTTTAGTTAGATAAAATATTTTTATATTTATTAAATTATTTTTAATTCATAAACGAGTTATTGGGTCAACTCGTGGATGACCTGAATTCGACATTTTTTTTCGGGTTCATCCTGATTCTGACCTGACGGAAGTCTCAACCAAAATCCATTAATTTCGTATTAGGTTCGCGTCGTCTTTTCAGGTCGTATCGAAAATTGCCACCCCTGACTCCGTGTCATAGTAAACGATTGTAAAGGTCAACTAGAGCCTTTGCTCAAGAATTATACAATTTAGCTCTTCATCAATAAAATCTATCGTTTTAGTTAAAAAAAAAAAAAAAAAGAAAGAAGGAATAGAGCTGTAGAGATATCTGCTCATGTGTAACAAAATCTCTAGGACTTGGGTCCTAGGTGGTTGCCTTGCATTTGCATATGAAGTTCTGAATCGAAAAAAGCTTGTAAACAAGTAGCTTGCTGAACATTAGAGTTGGTGTATGGTTATTTATGGGTATGTTCTTGTTTGATTATTTCATTTGATTTTAGATGATCAATTTTTTTTTTTTTTTACGTTTTAGTTTGCTTTTACGTCTAAATATTTATTTTTTTAATAGTCAAAAAAAAAATAAATTCCAATACCTATCAAAGAGTAAAAGCTAATTCTAATTTTCCATGACCAGTTTTTGCAATATCTATAGCAAATGACACTAGTGAGACAGAAGGGGTTGAGGCTATTCGACGGGGCTCGTTCCTTTTCTTTTAAGAAGAGAATAAAATGCGTGAAGTTTGATCCTAAAATAGAGTGAGAGTTTTCACTGCTAAATGTTTGAAAGAGTAAAACGCTGAGATGCCAGTCCCATGAGCAGCAATGTTGGCGTACTAAATCAATGCTAGAAGTATGTACTGTATTTATTAGTTTTATTGGAGTTAGGTTTTTAGTAGTAGTTGTGCAATTTAGGACTTGTGTTTTATTTGATAATTTTTTATGCAAATGGTTTCTTTTCCAACAAGTCTAAGTAGATTACAAATAAGACATATTGTTCAAGATGTTTTCTAGAGAGAGACTATAGAATAATTTGTCATATTTTGAACGGTGGTGGCGTGACTTTCTTTTATTATTTGAGATTTCAATAATATTATTATAAGTTGAGTTTATTATTTTCTTCTCAATCTCACATTTATTTTGAGTGTCTATTTTGTTTTGTCCCTACAATTCGGTAACCCTGAACGTACCCTAAAAAAAAATTTGGGTTTTACAATCAAGTGTTTAAGATTAGAATTTCAGAAGTACATCTGATCTTTTTAAAACAGGCCAGCCACAGCCAGAGTTGAGTCGCAGTTCTGTTCATCCATAGCCCTTCTCAACTCTGTGCCATGGCATCTAAAACTTGTAAAATGCATTATTTTATCAAAGTAATAACCCAATTACAAAGCTACAGATCGATGAGCTCTGCAGGCTTGCTTGTTTAACTTTAATTAGCCGTTTTTCATTGTTGGGCTTCGTTATTGCAGTGGAAATAAATGAAAATTACTGATATCAGAGCAACTTCAGGGTGTTTTAATTAGTGGACTAGAATCCAATGGCGTTGACCTCAGCATTTCAGTGTGGAAATTACTCTTAATTGCTCGGTTCCTTTCCTACTCTAAAGGCAGAATAGTACACCACCTGGATCTATCTTTCTTGTACTTGTATTCTGGAAACAACTGTATCTTTTACATCATTGCTTCACCTTTTCATTGGAAACCTGGTATGGCTAAAAGTGAACCGAATTTTCATCGTTTGTGAGTCAAAAAAAGGCTAGTAATTGGGATGTTATCATCTCCTGATGATCATACTATTTTGATCCCCCAAAATTGACGGCAAAAAGTGAAAAAACTATCACTAGCTCTAGTAGACAAAATTGACCATGGCCCATGTACTGTACGATCACTAACATGTCCTCCTTGAAGAGAAAGAGAAAGGGAAAAAATGGTGTACCCGTACAACTGTGCATGCGTTGGGGATAACAGTAGACTGATTATTATTATTATTTTAGTAAACGGGCAGTCTATGATTTCCAAGCCTAAGGGTTTCTCTATGGTAGTTAGTCTAGGAGGCTTCTTATTCCTTCCATTGCCCCCACAATGGTTATTGACTAAGCAGCATTAGCATTCGTTAGAAGTTATATGCAGTACACACTTTATACGTCTGCTTCTTTAATTCTCTTTGCTTCTCTTCTCAGTTCTCAGCATTGACCAGTATCAATCAGCGGAGAAAATACCCTTTAGTCCACATAACCCATTCCTCCAGAGGATCCTGCATTGCAGTCTTGTATTCGCTTGTGCATCAGCTAATAGAAATGTGCTGTGATCTTGAAATTGATGTCAATAGCCAGGAGACGTTCCTCGTGGACAAGGTAGAAGTTGTGCCTGAATAGCTCTTCCTTTTGCTGTCTCTGCTTTTATTTGTTTTGTCCTGCAAAGGAACGGAATATAAGCATTTCCTGGCGGACAGCGTCTGAAGCTACCTTTTTTACCAATTTCCACTCTTTGTAATATAGTTACATCAAGTCCTTGTGCGTCCTTGTGTCTATCATTAACCATTCTTGTTCTGCAATCCTTATTTGCCATTGCCTCAGTTGTGTCATCTGACTTTTCAGGAAAATCAAATTTAACATGTCTACAGCTTACAAATTGGTAAAGAGTATGTAGCTGCAACATTGCTGAGAGTTAAAATTTTGCCTGCAGCATTTCACAGTTTTGTCATTAACTGCAGTCGCCTTATTGCACTTTTTGTTTTTTGCAGCAGTCAATGATTTTCCTTTAAAATTTTTTCAATATATTCATCTATTTTTGCATGGAACTACGGGTTCACAAAAGTGAATATATGAAGTTTTTAACCATCTCACAATTGCTCACAAATGCAGAACTTCCTTGCATGTTTTTCCGGTAGATTGAGAAAATTGTTCAGAAAGTTGACAGGCAAGAATGGTAGTCTCAAATTGATATTCCATGATTTTCCTGGCGGAACTGAAGGTTTTGAACTACTTGCAAAATTTTGCTACAACGGAGGCAGAATTAACATAACTCCCTCCAACATAATTTTATTGCATTCTGCTGGCACTTTTATGGAAATGGATACGGATATTCACGGAGCACCCAGTTTGATGAGCCAAACCAAAGAATACTTCAAGAAAATCCACCAATTTGCCTTGCCTGAGCTACTTGAATGTTTGAAGCAGTTTCAAGATCTGCAGCAAACCATGTACTCTTTAGATATGCTTGAGGAGCTTCTGGATTGTCTGGTGGAAAGGCTTTCCTTGTATTCTCTTATCATCCCGTATAGTTCATTGACGGACAGTTTTTGTATACAGTTTTCAGGCGACTTTAGTTGTCAAAGCATAGGCAACTCCAGCTCTCAAGCTTCGACTTGGTGGTTTGAGGACCTTGAATTCTTGAAAGTTGACTTATTTGAGAAGGTAGTGGAGACAATGATTGCGAAGAAATTGGACAACTACGTTATATGTGCATTCCTCTTACATTATCAGAAAGTGAAAATTACTGGTGCTTTACGAGCTGAGAAATGTAGAATCACCGAGACTGTCATCAATCTTCTTCATTTGTTGGATAGGAGCCTTATCTCCGTCAGAGGTCTATTTGACAATCTTCGGTTTTCTTTAGCGTTCAAAGTGAAAAGATGTTCCAAGAAGAAGTTAGAAAGCCTAGTTGGTTCCCTGCTGGATCAAGCAAAGTTGGATGATTTGTTTTTTCCATCTCCACCTTGCAAATGTTATGCATATGATGTGGATTTGATCCTAAGGTTACAGGAACAATTCC